ATCAAAAGTTCAAAGCCAGCCTCAGCAACTTGGTAAGGTCCTAAGCAACTTAGTTGAGATCCTATCTCAAAATAAAAAATTAAAAAAGGGCAGGGGATGTGGCTCAGTGGTTAAGCGTCCCTGGATTCAATCCCTGGTACAAAACAAAATACTACAGCAGAGAATAAATAAGTGTTTACTGTAGCCAACCAAATATGTTATCTTCTGGGCACTTTTTAAAAAAATATTTATTTTCTAGTTTTAAGTGGACACAATATCTTTATTTTACATTTATATGGTGCTGAGGATCGAACTCAGTGCCTCAAGCATGCTAGGCAAGCACTCTACCACTGAGCCACAACCCCAGCCCTCTTCTGGGCACTATAGCCTGGGGTTACATGTTAGGACAGGAATTCTGTAAGGCCTGTGAATACCTCATCTGAAAATTCTAGTTAAAATTCTCTATAAACATTTTGATGTGATAACATTAGGAAAATACTGTGGTATTCATCTTAAATTTAGCTGACTCACATTTGAGGTTAGTTAAGAACCAAGTGTAAACACCTATTTGGTCAACTGACTTGTTGACAAGTGTCCCAAGATCATCAATCAATGGGAGAAACATGATGTTTTTAACATCATATGTTTTAACATCTTTTTAACATATGATGCAGGAACAACTGTATTGTCATATGCAAAATAATAAAGTTGGACTCTTACCTAATGCCATCTACAAAAATTAACTCAAAATGGCTCAGGCCTGTTATAGTTTGGATCTGAAGTATTCCCCCAAAACTTATACTTGGCTCCCAACACAACAACTTTCAGAGGAGAGGCTTTGGGGAAGTGACCAAATCATGAGGGTTCTGATCTCATCAGTGGATTAATTCATTAATAATTGGATGAACTATTGGGAAGTGGCAAAGTACAGGGCTAGTGGGACCTAGTTGGAGGAATAAGGTCACTATGAGCAACCCTGGAAGAGTATTTCTTGCACTAAACCCTTTTTTCCTCCAGTGATCAATATCCCCTGCCCCCTTCCTGGCTACCAGGAACTGAACAGCTTTCCCACCATGTCCTTCTGACAAGATGCTCTATCTCACTTCAGGCCCAAAGGAACGGAGCCAGCCAATCACGGACTGATATTTCTGAAGCCCTAAGTCAAAATAAATCTCTCCTCCTATAAGTTGTTTTTTTCAGGTATTTGTCAAAGTGATGAAAAAGCTAACAGACCTCAATATAAGAGCTAAAACTATAAAACTCTTAGAGGAAAAGGCAGGTGTAAATCTTCATGACCTTGGATTTGGGACAGAGGATTCTTGTTAAGACACTGAAAGCATAAACACTAAAAGAAAAAATAGATGAATTTGACTTCATTAAATGTAAAAGATTTGTTTTAGAGGACCCCATTAATATCATGAAAAAAGCTGGGTGCCGTGGTGGGCACCTGTAATTAAAACACTCAGGGATGCTGAGGCAAGAGGATCAGTAGAGCCCAGGAGCTGAAGACCAGCCAAGGCAACATAGCAAGATGCCATCTTAAAAGGAGGAAAAAAACTAGGGATTGAGGGGGTATGTATCTCAGTGGAAGAGGACTTGCTTAGCATGTATGAGGCCCTGGGTTCAATTTCCCAACACCAAAATGCAAAAATAAACCAAACAAATTTTTTTTAAAAAACCTGAATGATGGATGGATATATACTACAGTACTACAGATCTTGAAACCATCATGCTAAGTGAAAAAAAGTCACAAGAAAACAAAACAATATAATCCCATTCCTACAAAATCCAGAACTGGATAATATAAAGAGACACAAATTATTGGCTATTTAGATTCAAAACAGGTGGGTTAGGGAAAGGGAAGAGAGATGACATCTAAACATCTTAAAGGGTACAGGATTCTTTTTGAAGTGATAAAAATACTTTTCAGGTATCAAAAAAAATAAAATAAAATTTTGCCAAATTCTTTCTCTTCTCAATCCTTTCCCTGCCCCAAACCTAGCCTCTCGCCATTTTCTTGTCTTATAGTCACAATGGAAACATAAAGCAGACATTTGAAACATCTTTTATTTACTTAATACAGTTTTATGTGACTTTCTAATTTTGAAAGAAAATTAGTTTTTTCCTTCTTAAAGGAATGAGTTTAAAATTGGGTTAAAAATATATACATAGGCATATAGATAAACTAATGTGTAGGCATTATAAACTGAACAATTATGGCATTGAAGCTGTGTATGATTTTCAACTGATCCCCCACTCCAGATCAAATATTCTCAAATGAAAAAGTTGTCTATCTGAATGACATAATTTTAAAAACTCTGATTTTCTTTTCCTTTTTAAATTAAAAGACATGGGCTGGGATTGTGGCTCAGCTGTAGGACGCTCCCCTAGCACAGGCGGGACCCAGGTTCAATCCTCAGCACATCAAAATAGAGGCATTGTGTTGCATCCATCTACATCTAAAAAAATAAAATAAAATAAAGTATTTTTTAAAAAATAAAATAAATTAAAAGACATTTGTTTTTAAGTATTACTTTTAATTTATAGCTTAGGCAATATACATTTTTTTAGGTAATAAGTATCAAAAGCAGATGATCTCCCTTGATATTACTTAGGGCCTTGCAATTTAGTGTTCTCTATGGCTCAGAAGCACCACAAGGACAGCTTGATAAAAATGTAGAATAATGGGCCCTATTGCAGCTTTACAGAATCACACTTCAACAATATCCCAAGGTAACTTTCGGTAAAAAGTCTGAAAAGCTCTGATCTAGAACACTTATTAAGCATGGATATTCAAGTGAGGTGCAGGCAACTGCATTTTTAACATAAATACTGTAGCTTTTCCAATACAAAAAAGTTTGAGAAGCACTATTTAATAGAACAGTGAAGTACTGAAAGAGGGTTCCTTTAAAACAGTTTGGTAAACTAAGAAACACTGTTATATATCCTTCCCCCAATTTTTTTTTTTTTTTTGTACTAGGGATTGAACCCAGGGGGGCTTAACCACGAAATCACATCCCTTGCCCTTTTCATTTTATATTTTGAGACAGGGTCTCACTAAGTTGCTGAGGCTGGCTTCAAAGTTGAAATCCTCTCACTTCAGCCTCCCAAGCCTCTGGGATTATAGGTGTGCACCACCACACCCAGCTCCCCAAACATTTTGAGAGAAAAAAAATATCTGAATTTACAAATCTCACAGCCATACTACTTTCTAAAAATTAATAACCTGAACGAATTTGTGAAATATGGAGTTTAAGATGAATAACTAACGTCAACTTTATGTACAATTTTCATGTGCATTAACCAAGATAAATTTAAGGTATTCCTAATCAAACTTTGTAGACTTTCATTGAAAAATGATCAAACATACTTTTTAAAAATTCCCATCCACAGGCTGGGGTTGTGGCTCAGTAGTAGAATGCTCACCTAGCACATTCGAGGCCCTGGGTTCAATCCTCAGCACCACATAAAAATAAATAAATAAAATAAAGGTATGTGTCCAACTATAACTAAAAAATAAATATTAAAAAAAAAGAAATTCCAATCCACGTGGCAAATATGATTCCTTTTACTTCACTCCAAGTTCCAAACAGGTCAACCAAGTTTGTTTGGATCCTTGATGTAAAACCTTTCTATTCTCCAATACAGAATACAGGTCTTTGAACATGCCAATGTAGCTGTATAACATGCATAAAGAGCAAAAAAAAAGATACTAAGCCTCCCAAATATATGCAGCAAAAAAAAAAAAAAAATTCACTAATTCTTAGGGGATGCTAATTTGACAATCCAGTAAAAATCTAATAAATACAAATATTCAAGGTTTTGTGAGGAACACAAAGATGATCAAGGTACTATCCCTAATCCCAGGGAACCTAAAATCGGGGGCAGGGTTTAGCTGGAACTATGCACCAATTAGCAGAATGTGGTCAGTGCTGAAAATAGTTCCCGGAAGTTCCCAGTTTCAGGTAGCTAAAAATTCTGAAAGTAGATATTCTACAGTAATTTCCAACTTATTTGTTGTAGAGGTGAACAGATCAAGAAAGTACTTTATAAGTAAGGATAGTTTGTGGTAAACAACCTTCCAGGAAATTTGCTTACATTTTAATAAACACAATTAAAATTAGGATTTTAGGTGTGTATGTTTTTAGTAAATGTAAAGTAATTAAAACATGAACTAGACATAGGCGGTCCAATACACATAAGTTCATAGAGGGTGTTTCCTTTGACAAAAACAGGAACATTCCGCTTCAGAGATCGCTGATCATGCGAGAAAAGAGGAAAAAGGAGTGGAGAACTGTTTCTATTTTTCCCCTGTTAGCTTAAAAGGAAAAAAAAAGCCGTTTCCTGAACTACTCCCTCCTTTCAACTTTAAAATTTTCTAACACTATGGTCTCTAAAGGGTCTTGGAACTAAAGAAAAACAAAAATGGGCAAATGCATTTACCTACTCAATAGCCCAAACAGAAGCTTTTACCTCGAGGGGAACCAGCAGTCCACTAAGGAACACGACCTAAGAAAGTGCACCCAAATGCTCCTGGCTGACCCTCGGCCACTCTGAGCTCACTTCATTGCTCTTCCCTTGCAGGGCACACCCTCCCGTGGGAACAGAAAAGCCAAGCACTTCTTCAAAGGGGCTAGGAAAGCCCCAGGGGAGTGCCGAGCGGCGTGCTGGCACCCGGGACAAGACCATCTCTGGCCTGGAAGAAGAGGTGCAACTGACACCAAGAAGGGCCGGTAGAATGGGGAAAGGGCGCTGCGATGCACGGTCCGGACGCTGCCGGCCCCTTAGAGAATTAGGTCGGTCCCCAAGGCCCGCAGGCTGCTCTCCTGAGGAGGCCTTACCGTCCAGGCCATTACCCAACCTACTGACAGGTACCTGAGGTGGGGTCCGTCACAGGTGTCACCCACCTGGTCTTGCTAGCCCTGGGGGTGGGAAGGGACAAGCAGGGGTAGGGTAACGGCATCTAAAAGGAGAGACGCGGGGAGCAGCGCAGCGCGGAACCCACGGAGATGCAGTCTGACCTCTAGCGTGGAGACAGTGCTGGTGAACAAGTCTTCTCCGTCCTCCAGTTCCTCAAAGTCGGTGGGTTTCCCGTCCCCCAGCGGAGGAGGCTCCCTCTCGGCCGCCATCTTCGCTCGCTCGGACGACTGCGCGAGCTGGGCCTCGCGGACCTGTCACGTGAGCACGCACAGCCAGGCTGGCGCGCCGACCCGCCGGCTCCCCGCCTCCCCGGCCCGCCTCCCACGGCCCCGCCCAGCGCGAGGCCCCGCCCCCGGCCTCGTGACGGTGACCTCCCCGAGCGCTCGGCGCTCAGCTCCGCCCCTTCGTGGCTTCAGCCCCCGCCTCCGTGTCTGGGTCATTGCCTGCTTCTCGCCGTTTACTTGGTGACTTGTGGAAGAATTTTGGACTCTTATTACCGCAGCACCTTCTTAGAAGGGCTAGGCCAAATGATTTCTGGGAACCATTTTTGTGGCTTTCCTTTAGGAAGTAGAAAAGGTCGAGGAACCACTCTTTAGGCTTGGAGTTTGTACAGACACAGGAAGCAAGGCACATACTCTCAACTTTGTTTGGACCCATCGAAAAGAACCTTTTGAAGTGATGGAAATGCTCTACATCTGGCTGTCCAAGACGGTAGCCACTGGCCCACGTGTGACCACAGAACACTTGAAATGTGCTGTGTGAAAAACTTGAGTTTTAATTTTATCTCATTTTAATTAATTTAAATAACCCTATATGACTAGTGGCTATTATTGCAGCTTTTGGTTACAAAAAGCCATTGAATAATTTGTCATCTGTAGTTTAATGCAATTTCATCATGAACCTTACAATATTGTTTCCGCTACAGGGTTAGAAAGTAATAAGGGTGGAGTGGTAGCTTAGTGGTAAAGCATTTTCGTGGCATAATCCCTAGCACCACCACCAAAAAAAAAAAATGTGGGAAAATCAGACGATTGGTAAGAGACTCATATTCACACTTCGTGGCTTCTTCTCCGCCAGTTACGGACAGTCTGGAGTCTGTCTCAGCTTTAATTTCCTAATAAGTTCAAAGCCTGATTTGAGATGGCTCCTCTTGTCATCCTTCATTTTTACCTGTACCTTTATGTATTGCTTTCTGCTTTCTGTCTTATGCTATAGTCATTTGTATTCCCAGCATGTCTTTCTTAGTGGTATCTAAACTACTTGAAATATTAGTTCTACTGCTTATAAAAGAGACCCACATTAAACTTGACTTGAAAAAGGTACATGTTTACTTATTCCTTATGAGAACTGGGGTTGGTATGAAAGCTCCAAGGATATAAGCTTTTAATGCTCTGCCCTCCATAAGAAGCATCTCTTCCTAATTGTTCAAGTTGTCTTACCACCACAATTTCACCGCATTCCAACTGGCAAAAATGTGAAAGGAAAACAGAATGACGTTGCTTTCCTTTTAAGAGCTCTGAACAGAAATTTTACACACCTCTCTGTCTACATCTAATTGACTAACTTGTTAGTTACATGATCATCCCTAGCTACAAGAGAGCTACTAGGTATGTTAGCTTTGCACACTATAACCAAAATACCTGATAAGAACAACTTAGAGGAGGAAAAGTTTATTTGGGGCTCATGATTTCAGGGTTCTCAATTCATGATTTGGCCAACTCTGATGATGCTCTGGGCCTGAAGTAAGGTGGAACTTTGTGGTGTGTGAAGGAAAGCTGCTCAGCTCATGGCAGCAGGAACCAGAAAGAGAGTGTGTGAAGATCCAGGAACATGATATAGCCCCCAAGGGCATGCGCCTAGTGACCTGCTCTCTCCAGCCGCACTCAACCTGACTACAGTGACCACCTAATAGTCCATTAAAATTATAAACCCAACAAATGAATCAATCTACTGATAAGGTTGCAGCTCTCATAATTATGTACTCATTTTACCTTAAAACATTCATTTACTGCCTAACACATGGGCTTTTTTGTGGATACATCATATCTAAACCATAAATCTAGGATGTGTAATTATTATTTTCCTCCTAAAAAAAATAGGGGTTCACTTAGCCTGAAAGAATGATGAACTATGTAGAGAAACAAAAGTCCCTGCTATAGCAGCCTTTCACTGTTTTCATTGTAGTATACCTGTGTATTGCCTTCTAGGTAATTACCTTTCTCCCACCCTTAGCTGTAAATCTCCAACTCAAGGTTGTAATACATGAATTGGGCTTAAATCAAGTCACAGTTGCTCCCTGAACGCTCATGATTGGTGTAAAACTGGAAAACGCCTCACCACACGACACAGATTACCAAAGAGGTTTCCACTTTATTACAAAAGGCTATGTGTTTATATAGGTCTAAGAGAGGTAGCAGGGGCTGAGGTAGATAACAGGTTGCCCGTTTATTGGCAAGCTCTTCCATATGTCAGTTCCGGAGCCCAAGAAGTTAATTCTAATTGGGGCTAAGGCTTCCCAGCGGCAGGGTATGAACATTGGCGCCTTCGGGAACGTTTCGTGCCAGTGAAAGAAACAAAGGGTAAAGAGGGTCCTTAGACGCCATGTTGAGTTTTTTTTTTTCTGGGGTGCTGCACCATTATATGTTTTCCCAATAATTGGTAGAAGAATCAGTTACATTTTCCACAAATTTTCTGCAGTTCGGCAGTGGTTCTTTCCCCACTCAGCCTAAATTCTATTCTAGTCCCTATTCTTTCAGAATTATAAGAATTGTCTTGCTATTTTTCTCATCTTCTTTCTTTGTCCCTTGCTTTTCTGTTTCCTCTTCTCTGAAATCCCAAATTTAGCCATCGGCTTCTCTAATCCTATCTTCCAATTGCTAGAACCTTTGGCAAAGTAAACCCAACCTAAGATTGATGATCCTCTAGGTCAATGATCTTCAACCCCAACTCCACATTGCATACATATCATTATGTTTTCTTTATAAAGCCTTCAACTGTTCTTTCCATCAGAAGTTCTAAAAATTCATTTTCTCTTCAAGTAACCTACCATCTTTTTCTCCTCATTTTCATCAAATATCTTAACCTCCTCACTTAATGACAAAATAAAATCTGCTGAATGGGTTCTTCAACTTTAATTGTGGAGCAAATTGTCTTTGCTCTGTTTTCCCATTGGTTGCTGTGTATGTTTTTCTAACATCTGTCACATCATACTGTGATCACAGATGCTTTTCTATCGCCTGTAATAGAATGGAGGATCATTGATCTCAGGGACCATTTCTTAGTTGGCATTGGATCCTGAGTAGCCCTGTATTAGTTCCCCTAATAAATAAATTGTACAAAAACTTAGCAGCTTAAACCATAAGTATTTATTTTATCTTGATATCTTTTGATTAGGATTCCAGTTTCGACTTAGCTGGTGCCTTTGACTCAGGGTTTCTCACAAGACTATAATCAAGTTATTAACTAGGAAAGTGGTCATTTCAACATTTGGAGAGAAGTTGATCCCAAGCTCGCTCACATGGCTGGTGGCAGGCCTCAAGTCCTTGATGGCTGTTTGCTGGAAACCTGAGTTTCTTGCCACACAAGACTTTCCATGGGCTGGGGATGTGGCTCAAGCGGCAGCGCGCTCACCTGGCATGCGTGCGGCTCAGGTTCAATCCTCAATACCACATACAAAGATGTTGTGTGCGCCAAAAACTAAAAAAATAAATATTAAAAAATTTTTTAAAAAGACTTTCCATGAAAATTCTCATATAACATGTCAACTTGCTTCCCTTAGAATGAAGAATCTAAGACAGATGAATACTAAAAGATAGGTATAAAAAAAAAGTAAGAGAGCGTGAGCAAGATAAAAGTCAGTCTTTTGTAACCTAATCTTAGAAGTGACATCAAAATCTGGGGCTAGGGTTATGGCTCAGTGGTAGAGCGCTCACCTAGCATGAGCGAGGCCCTGGATTTGATCCTCAGCACCACATAAAAATAAATTAATTAATTAACGATATTGTATCCAACTACAACTAAAAAATAAATATTAATTTTTTTTTTAAAGTGACATCAGGGGCTAGGGATGTGGCTCAAGTGGTAGTGCTCACCTGGCATGCGTATGGCCCAGGGTTCGATCCTCAGCACCACATACAAAGATGTTGTATCTGCCAAAAACTAAAAAATAAATATTAAAAAATTCTCTCTCTCTCTCTCTCTCTCTCTCTCTCTCTCTCTCTCTCTCTCTGTCTCATTCTTTCTTTTAAAAAAAGTGACATCAAAATCACTGTATTCCATTAATTGGAAGTACACACTTAGAGGGTGAAATAAGGTTGTCAATGACAGGAGGCAGGAATATAGGGGACCATTTTAGAGGTCACCATAGTGTTCAGTACTCAACAAAATAGATACCTTATTAATATCTCTAATGAATCAAAGAAAGAATGAAGCTTCAAGAGAGGGCTGACAGGAAGTTACAGATTTAGTGATAAAAGGCACTGGTACATTAGAAGGCTCAGGTAGTCTAGGAAGCACAGTCCGAAAGTTCATTTAGGAAACAAGCAAAGGAAGAGTTACCATAAAGAAAACTGAAAAGGAGCAGAGATGGAAGAAACAATCTAAGAGATAGGGCTACAAAGAAAGTAAAAAGACAAAGAAGAGACCATTTGTAGTATCAAATACCTTAAATTAATAAGATAATAACTGAAGAGGGTGAATGGTTAATGGATTTTTAAAAAATGATGAGATGGTTAATTTTATGTGTCACTTTGCCTGAGCTATGGTGCCTAGTTATTTGATCAGACATTATTCTAAATGTTTTTGTGAAGGTTTTTTTTTTTGGGGGGGGAGGGTGAGATTAACATTTAAATTGGTTTTTGAGTAAAGCAGATTACTCTCCAAAATGTGGGTAAACCTCATCTAATTAATTGAAGGTCATAATGGAACAAAGATTAACCTCCCTTGAACAAGAAGGAAATCTGCCAGCAGATTGACTTTGGACTCCAACTTTAACTCTTCTCTGTTTCACTGCCTACCTACCTACCTACCTACCTGTGTTAGTTACCTTTCCATTGCTATGATAAAAAACCTGAGAAAAACAACATAAAAAGCACTTTTTAAAGCCTTTTACATGGCTATACCTGGGATCACAATAGGAAGTGAGGCCATTAATTGGGGGTATTGATGCAATTAGTTTACCAGAAAGTGCATCTATACATAAACTTGTTTATATGTATAGGTACAGGAAATGGAAAAAGTCCACATCAGAGAGCAATATTGTTTTCCCTACAAAGGAAGAAAGGTTAA